TTTAAAGTTATTATAGAATATTTTAGAGGAGATAATTTAAGTCCATCTCGTAGGAAATTAATGAATCGTTTAAATAATCATGATTTATTGTTGTATTTAGTACTTCAAAGTCAGGCGAGAATGATAGTTGATCATTAGAATTAACCAAATCATTTGAAATGAATGAGTTTTGTATAAAGATTTCATGTGGATTTATTTCAGAAATTTCATTAGAAAAATTGAAAATTCCGAGTCCATACTGACTATCATTAGTAGAAGACTGATTTTCATCAGTTATTAACAAGTTATTTATAATATCTTCATTGAATTGTTGGTTGGCTTGAATTTGTATGTCAAAACATTGATTAGAAGAAGAAATTTCTAAATCAAAATCGAAATCATTTATATTAGGAGAATTATTACAGCTGGAAATTGTTGATAAGTCGGGACTCGGATAGACATTTTGATTGGCAATGAAATCGGCCCAATCATTAAATAAATCGAGGTCAAAAATTGACGAATTCATATCTATATCACTTAAATCACTAAGTAATTCGGGAGTAGATGCTGGTGAATCAAGTTGTTGATGTTTTGTGGGTTTATTAACAGTTTTCATAGGTTTGGGTGTTCTAACTTTACGAATAGAAGGTTTATCGAATGAAATAGTTTTCCATTGATCTCTCTTTTTTTGAGGTTTTACTTTAGGAAATAATTCATTTCGATAATTGAATGCATCTTTTGCTATTCTTTTATATTCATTTTTTACTTCATCAGGTTCTTGTTCCCATGAACGAGATGCCATTGAAGAGATAATATTCATTGGTAAGTTATAACCACTAGTACGAGCAGTTTCAACAAAGAGTTTTCGATAGATAATAAAAGCATTAGGGGTTTTAGGAACACGACCATCAGGGTGTAAAATAACTAAATCACGATAATTAATTTCCGGTGGAAATTGAAGTTTAATAAGATTATCGATCACCTGACTTTGGATCATGGAATCGTTTCCAGAATTAATAAAGACGCAAGCACGAGTTGGGTTAACTACGAAGCTGGATTGATTTTCGCTCATGTTTACAGTAAATTTTTTACTAGTTATAAATTTATATTTAAAGATTTAAATTTTAAATTCTTTACACTTTAACTGAGGTAAAGAATAATCAAATCCCGTTATATTTATATTTTTTTTTAAACAGCCATAACTGCTAAATATGGATATTGTTCGGTTCTCTTGGAATTTTTGATCTATTTACAAAGCGTCGTCATTTTGCATAATTACGTAAATACACCATTATTATTCCA